GGAACTATTCGTAAGCCGTCTTGGCATACTATTTATTTGCATACAACTAAATCAATAGGCATTCATAGAAAATATACAGACATATACTCCTTATGTGTACTATGCAACTGGCTGTACGAGTATGTGTGTGGTTTGTATTGAACTTTTCAAGGATATGATTTAAAATAAATAAATCATGGTAAATCAAGTGTAGCAAACGATAGTTGTGAAAATCGAATTACGCTTTTGTGCACGATGCAGTTGAAAGTAGTTGAGAATGCAAAGCTGAAGCGGGAAATAAGCGCTTAAGACTTGCCATTTGCTTTATCTGGCAAAGTATTTTTGTAATAAATACATGATTATCAATTTCATACCTCCAGTTCTCACCTCGAAATAATTTTTGCCACATAAGCTCTCAAGCGACCTTGGATATCCATATAAAAAACTGCTTATGCATTATATGAAAACTCGGCGAAAACTATAATATTAGCCTACTTTCTAATGTAGCGATATATCATAGATCTAATGTCAGTTTAGCTCCGACATCTGAGTCTAAGACTAAACACCTAAGTACAGTTATTACTTTATACGGTTTCTTGGGTTCATCATACTAGGTACCAGTCATAAGCTCTCCGCCTCATATAATGTACAATATTGAGAATTGCTATATTCTGCTATAGGACTGTTGACTCCCTCATTTGTTATTATCTGCGCTCTTGCTAACTCTCTTAATGACACCCATTAGCATGCTCTCTCCTTCAGTTGATCAAGACTACGACTTTTATGTCATCAAAAATGTCGGAGTCATTCGTTATTCGTATTTTATAAAAATGAGTTATCACTAATTTTTTTAAGAATTAATTTAGAATTCTGCAACCGTAGGTGACAGCTTTCGAAGACAGTGTTCATTTTCTTACCCATTAATAATTGACAATATCTTTTTGCAACCACCCAAATGTAAATAAATTTTTATGCGCGGAAGAAGTATTGTATAATGTTATGGCGGTGCACCTATATGGTTATATCTTTCGCGTTGATACAACTTTATCAGTTTGCAGAACCTAGGATTTGGAATTAGCTAGTATTAGAAAAAGGATGTTAGAAGAAGAAACACTGAATAAGTGCAATAATTGGTATAAAGCTAATTTAGAAGGCAGTAAAGAAGCATATCGATCCTAGGATTGCCACTGATTTTTGCAACATCAATTTTAATGCAACAGAATTTTATTAACGTTCACACTTGTTACAAAAATACATATATGAAAACCTGAAAAATTATTTACTAAGTTCTTCCAACTAATACCCACGTAATTTTAATCTATTATTACATATAAGCATGTACACGTACTCTAGCATACTTTTATGCGCAATAAGTTAGTTCAATTTGTCGCCAAGCCAAACACTATGCAACGCCAGCATTCGCACATGGCGTACACGAAAGTTGTGATCACCTGCCCGCCATAGTGTTCAGCAAAATGGCGCCTGTTCAAAGCGTAAGCTTACAAATAATTCACCATACATACATGTGCCTAAAATGACTCATATACACCGCGAAGTCGAGTTAAGGAAGTATGTTGTGCATACACATGAAATCTCATATTTGCGCCACCCATCCTCTCAGCTCAGGCATTTGATTTCTCTTGTTCTCGCCGCAAGTGCTCTTCTTCGCCTAGGCAGTATTTCAACTTTTTAATAAAAATATTAGATTACAAGCAATTGCGTGGCAGTAAGCAACTTTCATGCTGATATATATGTATGAAAACTGATTTTCTTCTTTTCTACTCTCTTAACAGCAGTATTCATGTGAGTATTTAATGAAAGCTGTGCGTGATTGGCTTGGCTGGCGAACGTGTGGCAAATTGGTTTTAATAGTAATAAACTATTTTTGCTTGCCTTCTCAACTCCATAACTCGATTGTGGGCAGATGAGTTATGAATATATAATTTAATTTTTTATGAATTGCTTGAAGTATACAAGGAAAGGAAAAATAAAATTTTGTTTTAACATTCCCACAAAAAAATTTAATTATTATAGGAACGTAGAAATTTACAAAAAGTGGCGAAACACTTTTCAGGATAGTGAAATAAAAGTAATTTGTATGAGAAAGTTTAAACTTGATTTTATTAATTACTTATTTTAAATATGACTATTTTCCAGGGAGGCTTGTGATCCAGTAGTATTTTGGTGTGAGCTTAATCAAGTGGTTGCTGTTCGACGACCGTTGGATTTTACTTAAGCATTATGGCATGACAGGATTTCTACAAACCTTTTTCTATTAGAAAGCGCACGTTAATCCGATAATAATATCTCGGGTATTTTTGTTAGGAAGTGTTCTTTTAAGATATTGCTAGGAAGTTTCGTTCTCGAATATAGCTCATTGCATCTGCTAGAAGTTTTTTAAAATAATTTTCGAACATAAAAAATAGTGAACATTTATAGTCGAACTTTTAGTTGAAAACCACCCAATTTGCTATAATAGTCTGATTAAAATTTCCTTCTCACTAGTTCGTATAGTCGAACATACCTTATGTAAGCTTCGCCTACTATTTATATACTATATGTTATAGGATTAATACTCTTATGTAGAACTTTCGGGCAATCTGCCAGCTTCACAGCTATTTATTTGGTGCACTTAACCCGTGCTCTATTTGCCAATAATTTTTTGCTCATTATTTACCCAAAGGCTTTTAGTGGTGGCACACTTCATTAGCCATTTTAGCGAACATACACGAAATAAATAAGCGATGAACAATATTTAGCCAACAATAACAAATTTTAAATTCAACATAAATACAACACAATAGATTTTATAAGCATTAAACGTTTTATTAGCGTTTACAGCATAGCCAGGACAGTGCCGACGTGCTAATTCATTTGCTATTCACATGCCTCATTAGGTCCGCATAAATATTATTCGCTATTGTTGGTCATATATACACATGCATAAATTATTATTGCATTCGCAACCTTTAGTCGAAAACTTTTAATTATTGTGAGAGGGTATGCAAAGGATGCGGAGTTAATATGTGTAACTGTGAGGGTATCATTGGTTGCAAAAGTGGGGCGTGGGATGGCTAATGAATGCTTAATTGTTAAGCAAATATGGAAAAATGTGTAAATAATAGAAGAAATCGTAATTGTAATTCAAATTGTAAGTATTTGCTTTAAAAGGTACAAAAATCGCAAAATGGACTAGAAATTTATCAAATGATTTGTTATATAAACATATGCGTAATTCGACGACAACTCAGAATACTAAGGAACATTGTTCTTATAGTAGGAATGTAAACACGTTTTCATTATCTGTTGAGTTCTCGAACTTTTTATGAAAGGAACTAATTGCATATTGTGCCCGAAGACATTTTCTAAACGTTGTTGTTGTTACTATACAATCCACCTTATAACATGGATTGTTTATATCAGGATTCTCCTTAATACTGTTTTTACTGTACAAATATTACTTTTTACACTAAGCACTAGCCATAAATTCTCTTTTCACAAAATGTATAATGTTGAAATTTGTTATATACTGTTATATGGCTGCTGTTTCATTAGCTTGCTCTCTCCTTCTGTAGACCAAAATTATGACTTTTTTATCACCGCAAATATCACAGTCATACGTTATGCGTATGTTTTCAGCGGTACCAATACGTTACTTTACTCAAATATTAATTTTTTTTGTGAATATTTTATTTCCACTCTTTTGTAATTTTTTGGGAGTTTTTAAATTTTTGCGTTGAGAACCCTGTGATCAAATAACGGCGAATCAATCAAAAGCCGCTGTCTTTCAACAAACTTTTCGATACCCACATTCGTTACAAAATATGTTATTCATGCATGTGGGAGAGGATATGCATTTGTATTACTATATACCTAATTGTTTATGTTTGCCAATTTGCTATGTAAGCATTGTCGAATATACTATACCTATATAGACATGCAAATTTACGAGAATGTTTGTCTTAAATGTTTACATAGTGTCATCAATGCTACCACAATGTCGATTCACATATCCTTTTCACAATGCAGTCCTAGCGGAGTATGGATATGCTAAGCAACCCACATATCGGTTGAGTTTCGGACAGTTTATCGTAATTATTGACCGCTTACTATGTGGCATATCTAATGCATAAATGTATCACAAATTTTACTCTCTACACCACTCACTCTCTCTCTCTCTCTCTCTTTCACTCTATCTATCTCTTGCTCATTTTGGGTTTCAGCAGCCGCTTGTACTGAATATTTATAGATTTATTGCCGTATCGTTGGCCCGACTCATGGTATTTTAATTAGATTCATGTTTGCTTGCAATCAAATATGCAACACAATATGTTGACGCACCTACACAGGCGCACAAATGCATGATCACACATATAGACAGTTACAGTTCGCATCATTTACACTGAAATCCGTTTGCTACTTAACGTTTTTGCTTTGCTACTCGCACAAAGTTTATCATTTACACACTGCACTTCTCGGTATTCATTTGTGTGTGGCAAATGTAATCAGTCTAAAGTTTACACAACTGTAGTTTGTAAATAATTGACCTCCAATGTGTTTACTCAAGCGAATTAGTAGGTGGCACATGTAGTCGTGTGTATTCAATTATGAATGAATATGTTTGTTGCGTTATTAAACAGCAAATAGTTAGTTGGAGATATGAATATATGATTTCGTATGAATATATAGTAAGGTTAAGATTCTTTTATGTTACTGTTGCATGCATTATTTTTACTATAATTAATAACGGGTTCAGGTGCACTAAACTCGTTAAGCATAAGTATAAAATTGCCACATAAATAAGGAGTTTGATGGAGAGTCATACAAACAAAGTTAAATTTTAAAATTGTTTTTAAGTTAATGGCTAAAAGCAGTTCGTTTCTACCATATTAGGTTCCTAAAACTAAATTTCATTTGAACTACTATATGTTAAATATATGTCTCAGAAAGTATGCTCTAACTGTATTTTGATCTAAAGATGACAAGCCTATTTAATATGATTGATAAGTCTTATCATATAAAAATCACTCGCTTTTATCTGAAAATTATTACTACAAATGCAAACCTCAATTTAATCCAAATTTTTTTTTAGTGTATTGAAATAATGAAACAAAAGTGTCAAAATCATTTTTCATAATTTTAAAATCACAATTTGTTTTATTTACAAACAAAAATAAATATTGCCGCAAAATTACTGTTTTAAATTCATGGAAAAGGCCTCCAGCTCCAGCCGCTCACATGCACTGCAAACACAGGAATAGTATCTAATACAAATTAGAGTGTGGCATTGCCAAATTAACCTTTGTCATGTGCTATTCCATTGAGGATACAGCTTTTGCTCTGGCCTATGCAAGTTTAGCATTTTGGGCATTTTGCTCATTATTTCATGCATTGGTTCTCTTGGTGCATGCGAGTTTGGATACCACCGTGCCGCGTCGTTGTGATACGGCCTTAATTAGATATGTGAAGAGTAAGTAAATTGCATTGATTCAGAAATTAAAAATGAGACACGTAAATTATTCTAATGAAAGTATGTTAAATTATTTGCCTAAAAGTATGCTAAGCTTATAAAACATATGTTTTTGCATGCGCCAAGACATAGTTTTGTTATTTATTACGTTTTAGGCTTTTCAAATTCTCTCGTTTTTTGACTGTTTGTTATAATTGCTAAAACATCATAAAATTCTGTCTTCTGTGATATATTTTGAATTAAACAATAGCAGCGACATCTGCCGTTGAAGTATACTTTTAAATTTTTTGTCATGTGTTGCATTGAAACTTGCCGAAATTGGGTTAAGTAATTAAAATTTATCGCTTATTTTATTTTCCAAATTCGTCCCAAAGCTATACCCGTCGAGTTTCACTTCAATTCGCTGTTTGCTGATTTACTACGCACTGGAGTCTCATTTATACTACTCAAAGCAATAAATGAGGTAAGTTCGCTTGAATCTTACAATAGTTTGCTTTTACCGTTTCTTATTTTTAATGCGATATAAAAGGGTAATAAAAAATTTTGCTCATGAAAGTTTTAAGCGCATTACGCCTATATAAATATTTACAACTGGAAGTGTTGCTGGTATGAATTTGTAGTACAAATTTTTAAATTAAAATGTTAGTTTATGTTACATTATGATCTTTTTTTAAACTTATGTTCAATTAATTTAATTTTTATTTCAGTGCAACACTAATATGCTTGTGAACTTTTTGCGCTTTAAATATATTGAAATATTTCTTCTTCTAATTTTATTTACTGTCAGCTGCTACAGTGAAGAAGCGAATGCCTTTGTGAAGGCTTACTATACGATATCGCTGGGTGAGTAAAAATAATATATCAAATATTCTTTATAGGTATAATCATAATAAAGAAATAGGTTTATTATATTATATTAATTGTATTATGTGCATGTACATATATACATGTATTACATTTACATAAATTTATTAATCAAAATTACGTTGAATTTTTAAACTAAACCTAAACTTTTTTACTTATTTAAAAAAGTTTTTCGTTGAAAAAATTTTGTTAAAAAAAGATATGATTATAAAAATTTATATTAAAAGAATATGATTAAAAAATTTTTTGATGAAAAAAACTTCGATGAAAAAAAAATTATAAAAACTTTTGATAAGAAAAATTTATTAAAAACAACATTCAGTGATTGAAAAGTCTAAATTTCAGTGAATCACATTTTTTCTCACATATTTCTATTCGAATTAAATTTAGATAAAAAAATTTCGGCGAAAAAAAATTATAAGTGATGATTAAACAATTTTCCGATGATTAAAGAAATTTTTTGTATGAAATATTTTTAATAAAAAAAAATGATTCAAAGAAGTTTTTGATGATAAATTTGAAATTTTCAGTTTTAGATTTGGCAGTGCTGTATATTATATTCATATATTGCTGCGAGCTCTTAGCTAATAAATGAGCCAGAAATGAAGAAAGTTTTTTAAATGGGTATCTATATGTGTGTGTGGGTAGCTGCGTTCAAAAATTCAAAATTAAACAGAAGAATTATGCATATGCGATTTATTAAAGATATATTCTACTAATTTAATTTGTGTTGTTAAAGTAATAAAATAAATGAAAATATAAAAAAATTATTTAAAACTATATACTTTTATTCTTATAAAAAATGGTTTTTACTAATTTTTCGGAATTTTTGAATAATTTAATTTGAAGTTTAAGTTTTAGAAACTTACAAAAAATTCAATAAATCTTTAATCATACCGATACTATATATAAAGCAAATAACTTAAAAGTGAATTTACAGCATGCCGTTAGAAATTTACAACAACTTAAAGCCAAAGTAGTGCTCGACACTCAGAAGCACGTTTCTGTTGCAGGCAATTTATGAAATGTCACCGCCGTTGAACTCTGAACTTGAGGCAATTTATAAATACAACAATGCACACCGGACATATAGGCATGTAATTCCTGCAGAAACAACAACAAAACACTTACACATATACACCCAAAAAGGAATATCAATCAAGTTATGTGAGCATACATTGAAACACACACATCTACATGCGAGCATATGTATACACAAGTCTGCATGCAACAACCGCTTTCCTCATTTACAACAACAACAACAACATAAACCAATCACATGTGCCACTTGACTGGCGTTATCATTGTTTCTTACAGCCATAGTTGCTGTTAGCTGAGCGCCCAGCAGCTGCCACATTGCCTGCGTCTTTTTTTTGCCGCCTCCAGCAGTTATTTTGTGCTGCATAGTTCTAACGTCTAGACGCTTATTGTATTTTAAGTTTTATATTTTTTTTGCCAAAGTCATTATTCTTGGTCTATTGTGTGTGCGGGTGGTCGTAAATATGAGATAATTCAGGAATAAATTGAGAAAATGTGAATGTTCTTTTAGGCTTGTAGGAAAATCATAAAAAAATACATATATGATTTAATACAAAAAAAAAGAAAAAATAATATACATTACCATAATATAAATAAAAAAAAAATAAACTAAATTAAATTATAATAAAACAAAATAAAATAAAATATAATAAAATAAATAAAAAAATTTAAATAATTATTTTTTGATATTTGGTATTTAGTATGGAAAAAATATATATTATTAATATATTTAACCAATTTATCCTGCAGAAGCATTAGGTATATCACTATCTACCATATATATACTTATGTATGTACTAATATAGAACTGTCAGCATGCTCACAAAAGAGTTATTCACATATACATACTTGTATATACATAAATACATACATACATATTTATGCGCCTGGTTAAAGGCATTATTTATACAATGAGCATATTCATATTTCTCCCGTTACTCGCATGTACACATTTCATTTCAATATCCTGCGGACACAATTGCAAAATGCTCGTTTATACCATAGCAATACACACACTTGCATAATGTATGTACAATAGGTTGATATGCACATTGGTCAGCTGGTAGCTTAGATAATATGAAATATGCAGTTGCCACAGTAAAAATTCGCTGAAATTGAAATAAACTAAAATGGAATTTATTTTCTAATTTAAATATGCCAGAAGGCAATAAAAGTAAAAAGCAATACGACAACAAAAACTGCAACAAACTGGATGTCTAATGTGCATAATGTACACATAAATGCACAGAATGGTCAGTAAACGGTATAAACATGAGATAAATAACAAAAATAAAACAAAAAAATACAAAACAAAAATGGAAAAAATATCAAGAATTGAAGAGAAGTAAAAACAACCTAGAGACATACAAATATAATGGCAATATGTGGTTAGGAATTTAAAATTGCTCAGCAGCATAACTGATCAGTTTTTGCGCGACTAAATAATATATTAGCTCAGAAAATTTATATACTACTTTGGTTGGACTTTTTTTCCACACATAATTGTGTGGTTTATCTTGTTATTATGCCAAAAGTGTGGTAAAACATCAATTGTTGCCAGAAAAAAAAAACTTTTTTATTAGATTTTTGGACTGTTTTTGTGTGTTTTGAATGCACTTTATGGGCGTGGTTCCACTTTTCATACGCCTCAACATAAACTGGATATACTAAATCTTTACTGACAAGTTTTTAGCATACAAAAAATGGCCTTATTACCTTATTACTCCAAAGGGAGCACCGTTATTTAATGTGATTTCTATTACTTGCTTCTCATTCTCTCAGTTAGGTGTGATCTTATGGATGTACAAGTACAGTTTTGAATAAAGTTTAGAACTATACAATACCTTGTTAGTACCTTATTAAGTTAGATCTTGAATTCCTCTTATATATGCTTATACTATTATTTATACTTGAATCGCCTTTTCTATATGTATATCACCATTTTGTGGCATTGAGAGATCTGAAAGCAAAATTTAAAACCTTTCCGTTATTGTCCGTTGAAGAAAGAAAATACTTTGATCCTGTATATACCAAACATTTTATTCAGAGTTCCAAATGACACCTGGTTAGCACAGGAGCCGTGCGTAGGCAATCTTGATCACAGCATATTGATTGCTACCATATACTTTTACAATCAAACAACTTGCATGCCAAAACATGCATTACCATACATACTTTTAGGCGCACATGCCTGGATTTTATAAGTACATCATAAAATGAAACCAACCTACTAAAAAACGCCCAAAAGTAGGCTAGGGTTGAGCATATTTTTCACTCATATAAAATTTCTATTGGAAAATTTATGGAAACTTGTATACAGACAGTTGTAAATATGTAAGTATGTGTGCGTAAGCCAAATTGCCTGAAAGAGGAAATATTCAGTAATTTTATGAACCAGCTTGTCGTTAGCATTATTGCTTATTACTTGTTGTTGCCGCGCTTATTGTTATGCCGGTCCATATCTGCTTACTGTGAACGCTTTCGCATCTGCATACCTACCCATACACATACAAATATATTTAATATTATTTACACAATATTGATGCGCTGTTTCATAGCGACACACAGTTGTTATTTTTGTTGTTATTACTTTTATGTTTATTATGTTCGCCTTTTTAAGTTGCCCGCTTTTGTTGTTGCACATTTTTTGTTTGATAAATTGCCAAATTTTTATGATTGCAAATATCGCTCTCAGCGCCAACGTGCCCTCACTCACTTCATTAAGGTTATTGCGAAATTTCGCAATTTTGTGAATGGCTCCTGCCAAACATTGTTGTTCTTGAGCATATTTTTGTTGTTATTATTTATGTTTTTTCAAGCTTATTTAGAATGCTCTTCCTTCGCTTTCGTCGCTCTTTCTGCAATATATCATATTTGTATACTTCCTCATTGTTGTTGTAGGGTTACTACAATGTATTGCTGGTCGTTTGTCGCTACAGCTGTGTCGCCATCTACGAAAAATGTTGGCGAAATATACTCATTTTTTAATTCCTCATCACTTTATAAGCCATTCGTGCACAATTTGTATTTTCTTTGTTATTTTTTCTGCACAGCTCTGTCATCTTGTGCATAAATTGTTGTAATGTTATTATTAAAATTTCTGCAAAATTAACTGAAATTGCTTTCATGACATTTTGAAGAATGTCAGCGTGTAAGTTCCTTAGACTTTTATGCGCTACACTTTGTTAAGGATATTTACTTAAAGGATAAATGTTGCTGATTACCTGTTTGATGCTGTCAGTTGTTGCTGGCACTTTGTTTTTGTAAAAAGCTCAGCTGTTGTCATCAGCAGCTAAATTAGAGTCCATTTGAATTTTGGTAAGCTAGAAAAAAGCGTCGCAGGTTATAAGCGGGATTTATTGTAAGATTTTTTTTTTCGGTATTTTAAAAAATCGGAAATAATATATATGCTTATTTTCATTTCATATTAAAAAATATTTTTGTTGAAAATGTTGAAATTGTTCTATTGAATGCCTAAAATCATACTAGACTCATTTTCAGTTTGTTTTAATAAATTACAATATGTTAAAAAATTTAGTTTAAACAGGTAATCCTATGTACATATGTATTTGCGTGGATATTAACCTTTTTTTATTTTATTAAAATATTTCTTGAACCTACAGCACTTTTACTTAAAATCACGTCTAGCTTAAGCCAAAACTAAAAATGATAGGTGGCAACCCTTAATTTTTTTAATCAATTACCAATGAATTTTAATTTGCGGTAGCTACTACACTGCGCAATAGTTTTTGGATGGAAAGTATTTAGTTTATGTAATAAAAATAAGGTGGCAACCCTATTTTACAAACATTTGTAGTTTTTGAACCAATTCATCTTTACACGTTGTAATTATACAACTTATCAACACATAAATATTATAATAAACTGCTAAGTATGTATTAATGTAGATCTTTAGTCTTGACTGAAGCCTCAAAGCTCATATTGGAGAGATGGTTTTCTTTATTTATAATTATTTTAGTTAAACATATTTTTTTTGGTTAAGAGCTTTTTCAGTCATAATTGACTGATATATCAACAATTATGGCGATAGTTCTATTACTTTGGGATCAATCAAAGAGATAGAAACTTCCGAAATGTTTTCCTCAGAGGACGCATTTTCAGTCTAAAGGCGAGAAGAGAAAGAAAGAGGCAGCGACTCTTTATATTACATAAAAAATTTTGAACATTTAATAATCTAAAGGGCAGACTGAATGGGAGCCATACAAATTTTGAGGATTCACGTCGCGGAGATCACAGTTGTGGAATGAATATTTGCATATAAAGAAATTTGTGTTGCTGTGTGAATATGTTCATCTTAGGAGTTATCGGTTAACAATAAGGGAAAATAAAAAAAAAAAAACAGAAAGAAAAATCGATATTTATTTCTAAAAATATGCACTTATGTTCGAAAGTGGATTAGGATCCATATCTAAATTTTTACCGCAGAAGTATTGTACAACAACTGTATACAGACATAATAATATGCTTTCTTTTTTTAATTAAGTTTAAAGTTTCTTGAAAAAGAATATGAAATAGTCATTAGCTGGCAACAACCACTTTTCTTGCTAGACTCTTTATGCACATCCATTACCTCCCCTTTGCTCCACTCTCATATAAACAAATTAATTATGGTCGAGCGTTAATTGCAAATTAGTTGCTAACATTCTCGATTACAGCAGAAGCGCCCAAATAAAGCAGAACATGTAGCAGCTAATAGTCTACAAAAAATAAT